ATTCTCTACTACCCAGCCATTTCACTCCTAACTTTTGCATATGGTTACCAAGAGATAGTGCAAAAATAACTTATAAAATCATTGATGATAATAACAAAAATTGGAAATTCAAATACCCACAAAAGAAGATGAATACCTTAATTATGGGAGTCACATAATAAAATATTATATAGCAGTAAAAATGATTAAACTATGGGATGAGGTTGTGGCTCAGCGGTGGAGCACTCGCCCAGCATGTGCGAGGCACTGGGTTTGATCCTCAGCACCAGATAAAAGTAAATAAATAAAATAAAGATATTGTGTCTGACTACAACTAAAAAAATACTAAAAAAGTGATTAAACTATATGTAGCAATATGGGAGAATCTAGAACTATAGCAAGTAAAAATAAAACCCAAGTACTAGAGGACTATGTATAGTAAGATACTGTTTAATAAAGTTCGAAAAACAAGCAAAACTAAAAATATACTACTTAGGGAGACAGACACATGTGATGAAGTTATTTTTTAAAAAGACAAGGGAGTGATACTCAAGTGGACCAAGGAGGACAGGTGGAGAAGTGGTACAGGGAAAGAACTCCTAGGCAGGCAAAAAGATGTTAACCGTAGCTCAGATTTTTGGTTGGGTGATAGGTTCATAAGTGTAGTAATCATAGTTGTGCTTCCTGACAATACCTACATGCACTGTTTTCTATGTATAACTTGAAAATTTAGCTGTGTGTGGTGGCACATGCCTGTAATTCAAGAGACTCAGGAGGCTGATACAGGAGGATTGCAAGTTCAGGCTAGCCTCAGCAATTCAGCAAGGCTCTAAGCTACTTAGTGAAATCCTGTCTCAAAAAAAAAAAAAAAAAAAAAGGTGGGGATGTGGCTTGGTGGTAAAGCCCTCTGGGTTCAAAAAAGGTTACATATATTTAGGTGTATATTGATAGAATATTAGTAAGTCTTACTCAATGCTCAGTATATATTTCTGTGCAATGGAAAGAACTATTTAATAATACAACTTTGTATTGGGAAATTTAAAACTCCGCAGAGAACTTAAATATGTTGAGCAACCAATTAAAAAAAAAAAAGGTTCATTTGAGATGATTTCAGTTGGTCTTAAAATCAAATTCATCATCCAGAGGTTCAGCTGATAATCATATTTGATTATTATAACTTTGTACAAGGTGGCAAAAACAAAATGAGGACATCATCATATTTGAAATAGATTTATTGGTTTTGAAATCTTATTTTAACATATTTTATACCTTAAGAGAAACTACACTGAATTTTTTTCTTAGAATAAATTATTATTTAAATTTTTTTTTTTTAGTTGAAGATAGACATAATACCTTTATTTTGTTTATTTTTATGTGGTGCCAGGATCAAACCCAGTGCCTCACGCATTCTGGCAAGCACTCTACCTCTGAGCTACAACCCCAGCGCAGAATAAATTTTTTAAAAAGCTATATTTTTAATGTTCTTTATATACTTGTAAGGCTGAGCTGAGCCATTTGATAGTAGAATATGGTTATTACCTAGAAATTATTTTATCACTTTTGTGTCTTATGAAAACCTAGGTTTGCCATTAGCTCTGTGTTCATTCCCAAGTTACTTATAATAATAAAGCATTTGTATAATATACATTTTATTTTTTTAAAAATATTTTTATTAGTTATTGATGGACATTTATTTATTTATAGGTGGTGCTGAGACTTGAACCCAGTGCCTTGCACATGCTAGGCAAGCACTCTACCACTGAGCCACAATCCCAGCCCATAATATACATTTTATAATACCTTTTTTTTCTCTGTGAAATTTAGACAGTATTTCACCTTAGCAGCAGATCTTTTGCGTGTTTAGGTTCAAAGGACAGTTTATTTACACCTGACCCACAGTTATTCTCAATGTGTGAACTAAATACTCACAGGGCAGTGTTTGTCTCAAAGGCTAAAATCAGAATTGCAGAATAAGAATCCATGTATTTTTTTCTTGAGATTTCTATACAGGGATCCACTGAAATGTATTAGAGAAGTATAAATATTAGACTAATCATCTTGGATGTTAGACTAGTGAATGAGTTATCAGAAGAATTGAACTTCAGTTTTCAACTTCTCATTTGCTGAATTGTGGTATTCATTTAACATCTTTGTTCCTCACTTTCCCTCATATTTATAAACAGATAAGAACTTCTCTATCTTCCTCAGAGGACTGAGGATAAAAGAGTAGAAATGGCTATATATGAAAATCTTTATTTCATTTATTTTTATGAGGTACTGAGGGTCAGACCCAGTGCCTCACATGTGCTAGGCAAGTGCTGTACCACTGAGCCACAACCCCAGCCCTATAAAAATCTTTGTAATTTCGCGTAATATGCAAATGTGTTTATCACTAAAATCTTTTTTAAAATCTCTAATATATTAGAACTTACAATAAAGTTTAACAAAAAGCTTATTTAAGCATTTTAAAAATTGCCAAGTAAACTATGTGAATTTCTTAATAGGAAAATGCCTAGGGGATTTGCTTGAAAAATTATTTTATTGATTTCCACATAGATGAACTACATAGATGTAAATGTCAAAGCATTATCTCCACAGAATATGCAGGATGTCTGGGTTTATTAATTAATTCATCAAATCGTGCCTTGCTAATTAACCTGTAGAGAGATCATTATAGTAACCTGTGTTTTCTACATAGTTATGGGGGAAACAGAGTGTGTGTCCTAAAGTCATCACTACAGGAATGTTACTGAATGTGCTTTTGGGTTTGTGGTTTTACTGCTACTTCAGGGCCTCATCTGATTTATAGTTTTGGAGTCTTTAACAGTTTATCTACAAATTGCTCTTGCCATAGAGAAAGTTTCATGTAATAATGCAATGAAAAGTAAATGGATAATTTACAGTAGTAAATAATGTAAACTTGTCTTCATAGTAACACTGATGAATAACATTTTGTTCTTAAAGGATTTAGAGTTTATTATCTGATTTGGGAATCTCTTGACTATTGAACAAAATGACCTAATTTATTTTAAACTGTTTTCTTTATCTGGTGGAAAATATTGAAAAGTGTAAAGCAGAGCAGGAAACCATATCCTAGTTTTCAAACAGTATATTCAGTTTTCAACAGTATGTTATGGACTATTAACAGTTCTTCATATTTCCTTTCTTTTTTTGTATGTTTATATTGGGATCATATCCTATGCACATTTAAATGATTAAGTTTTATTTTTTTGTGATGGAAACCTGCCTTTTGTAGGAACTTTGGCAAAGTTGTGGAAAATAGACAAAAATCTAAAGCAGAAAATGAAAATCACATATTAATCTACTACAGTGGTTAACACTGTGAACATTTTGATGTATTTCCTTCAAGTGCTTTAAAATTTTAATTTTAAAAAAGTAATTGGGATACCATTTCCTGAGATCAGGCAGTTTATACTCTCCAGTCCAGTGGACTGGATGAACCAGATCAGCACTCTTCTTCCTGGACAGGGGTAGTCAGAGTTGATATTTTCACTTGTTTCCATATTCTAAGTTGACAAGTACATTGTGCTTTTCTTGTGCAGATTTTCATCTTCAAGGCCCACAGACACCTGCCCAAATTTCAGGTTATACTTGATGGTTTCTGTAAACCTGTACTTTTCTCTGCAGCCCTCGTCGCCTTCTCCTGCTATGGTTGAGAGGCGGCAGGAGGCTGCTACTTGGGAGTTTCAAATCCACTTTTAAACTAGAAAGGCAGTCAGAGAGCTCGCTCCGCTGTGTGGTCAGGAGCGCTTCGGGGTCCTATTCGGAAGCTCAGCGTCGCTTGTGGAAGGACTGTGACCAGGGAAGGCCTTGGTGGCGGGGGCTCCTTGCTCCAGGGACAAAGGCTATTTGAGAGAGGCCAGCCTTTTCTCGCCTCCCGAGGTTGTCATCAGAACGCGCTTGCCTGGGACTCCACCTCCCCTATTCTACAGATCTTAGGTGGGAGAAAGTTGCCAGGTCCCAAGGCGTTCTCAGCGTCTCAGGAGATCCCGGCAGGCCTTTGTTGAGGATTGTTTAGGCGGCTGCAAACGGTAGGTTTCTCTCGGTCTCGCTTTTGTGAGTCGGGATAAGTGCGTCCCTTCTCGCTTGCCTTATGTCAGGCGAGGCGAAGAGCGTACTATTTTCCAGTCTGCCGGAGGGGGGGATACTCACGTGCGACTCTCTGCTTCCCGGAGAGCAGCACCTGCTCCCACGAAACTAACGCTCCATCTACTAGGAGGAGATTATATTGTTCCGGGAGCCTGCACAAAGGCAGGAACTACCATCTTCAAGAACGAGGCAATGGACGCGCTCCTTCACCCCCCCACAGTTCGCTTGAATTGGCCGGGTCTGCCAGCGTTAGCCTGCCGCCACAAAGCTCCCTCAGCCTCTGACAGCTCATTGGGGAGCACCTCAGGGTCTCAAATCCTAGCTCAAGGGGCGGGACGAGCGCGCGCGGGGCGGGGCGACCGCGAGACAGAGTGCTAGCCAGGGGCGCGCGAGCAAAGCCGAAAGGAGCCGAGCCGAGCCGAGCCGAGCCGAGCCGAGCCGCGAGGTGCCGGGGAGAGGCAGGCAGAGCCGGGCCGGCCGCCTGCGGCTCAGTGCGGATTGTGCGGTGTAGCCGGGCTCTGCGTCTACCAGCCTCAGCCCAGGCTCCTGCAAAACTTTTATTCTCTTGGGCCCCCCGGGGTGTGTGAAGGCGTCGGAACGTTCTGCTGTCTCCGCGCCCTCTGCAGCGGCGACCGAGGGGACCTGCATCCCTTGCCCGCCGGGCTCTCGTGCCCTCAGCCTCCTCACCTGCCAATCGCTCCCCGGAGCCGCGAGGGGGCACCCCCGGAGGGATCGCGCGGGCCCGGTCGCCCCGAACTCCAGCTTGCCGCGGCAGACCCGCCCGGCGCAACTTTAACTTGGTGCCTCGCCCCCAGCCCCGGCACCCGAGGCTGCCGCCGCCGCCGCCGCCACCACCACCACCGCCCCCGCCGCCGCCGCGGCTGCCGCGGTTTCACAAAGGGCGCAGGAGGGGAGGCGGCACTGGCGGCAGGCACCGGCCTCCGGGCCGCCGAGGCAGGGAGACAAAAGGGAAACTGCCTCTGCTTGCGGTGCGGGTTTGGAACAACCAGCTCATCCGCCTCTAGCTCGGCTCCGTGCGCCTCCTCCCCCCTACCCTAGGCTACTGCTCCGCCTCCCTCCAGGCGGGCTGTCCCCGCAGTGCTTCGTATCCGGCGAGCCTTCAGGGCGCGCGTCGCTGCTGGTGGTTGGGGCTCTAGCGATAATAAATGATAGAGGATACGATGACTTTGCTGTCTCTGCTGGGTCGCATCATGCGCTACTTCTTGCTTAGACCTGAGACGCTTTTCCTGCTGTGCATCAGCTTAGCGCTCTGGAGTTACTTCTTCCACACGGACGAAGTAAAGACCATCGTCAAGTCCAGCCGGGACGCGGTGAAGATGGTGAAGGGCAAGGTGGCTGAGATTATGCAGAACGATCGACTTGGAGGGCTTGATGTGCTGGAGGCCGAGTTTTCTAAGACCTGGGAGTTCAAGAGCCATAACGTGGCGGTGTATTCCATCCAGGGCCGAAGAGACCACATGGAGGACCGCTTCGAAGTTCTTACCGACCTGGCCAACAAAACGCACCCGTCCATCTTTGGGATCTTCGATGGGCACGGCGGCGAGGTAGGAGTTCCCCTGGGTGCGCTCTCCACCCCCCCCCACCCGCGCGTGTGTGTGTGTGTGTGTGTGTGTGTGTGTATGTGTAAACAACAGGTTGTCGCATGTGCGACGGGGTAGGACTTGGGTGAGAGGGGCGTGGTGTCTGGACAGATGTGGCTCAAGTTGCCCCAAACACTGCTGTATGGGGACCTTGGAGCCGAGCGACCTGTTAGTAGAGAGTCATTCACCACATATTTCGTGCTGTTTTAATATGAGGTCTCCAAAGCCAAATGACCGTGCTAGTTTTTCGGGAAGAATTAATGTTATTTCCAGTGATCTTTTGTCCCGGGCCTCAGAGCCCCCGTTCTAGGGTTTGAGGATGCATTACCACAAAGAAGGAACACAGTATCTTTGATGTATTCTTAGAGAAAGGGACAAAATCTGCAAGGTAGAGAGTTGGTTGAGGGTGAAGGAAACCGTGACTCTTTCCCGTCGCCTTCACTGTAGGGAGGAACTCTAGAGTGGCTCTGCTCTTCCTCCCAACGCCATCAACTTTGCGAGTTCAAAGAGCACCTCGCTGGCCCAAGGTTTTTTTTTTTTTTTTTTAAAGCTAGATCGCCTCATGGGACCGTGATGCCCCCACCTATGCAGAGATACCCGTGCCCGCAGAACTGGCTGTGCCCTGACCTCACCCCTGTGCCCTAGTCAGCATGGGGGTGCAGATGTCCCCTGGCTTGTAAACACCTTTGTTTGGAGGTTCATTTGGGAGCAGGAGATGGGGCTAAAGGCCAGCTTAGGTCTCTCTCACTTTTCTGCTGCATCTGGGTTGTTTGCTGGGACTTAGTTTCCTGATGATGGGGCTAGGGTTGGCTCCTGTCCTTGGCTTGGACCTGGGCTAAGTCTGGCAAATGTGGCTCCAGTGTCCTGCTCCAAAAAAACATCAGGCCAGTCACCCCATCTTTCTTTGGACAGTTTGTAACAAAGTTTCATTGCTTAATACCCCTTTCCCTTTGGCAGCATACTTTCTTTCTTAATTTTTGGCAGCATACTTTCTTACTCTTCTTTTCCTTTCTTCTTCTCCCCCCACCCCCCATTATTCTTCTTCACTCCCACCTGATTCCCCTTCTTTGCCATCTGATTGTTGTGTGGGTTGTAGGGAACTGTAGGGACTGTCATTCTCTTTCAGGCATTTGCTTGTTCTTTGGCCTTGATTTTGGGTAAACATTGAAAAAAACTTTCAATTGGTTATCTTATCTGCATTCTCCACCCACCATCTGCAAATCTTTCCCTGGTTCTGTTCTACTTGCCCTGTAGAACCCACTTTGCCAAGAATGAATAAAACAATTAGAAAACTTTCTTGATAGAACTGAAATCAGTTTTTGCTATTTTCCATCCACCTTAGTCTTTTTTATTGTCTATCTTAAAAATGAAATTTTCTTACTAATAGTAATTTTGTAACCTTTTGTCTGATGTGGGTTTTCCTCTCCTTGACCACAGCCTAGATGAAAGATGTGAAGTTAATTGGGAAGAGACACTGCATACTTGGGCAAAAACATAGCTGAATGATAAGGTTGCCAGTATAAGGACTGATTTGTCTTCTTGAGTCAGAATGTCTGTATTTTCATTTTATGTTCCTAGACTCAGGAGGGGAGAAGGAAATTATTATTCTATCATTTGTAAATCATTTAATAAACATTCTTTATCATATATTAAAATTGTTGGCTAATGATAATCTGATTTTGGTCTTAGCACAATTTTACTTTTAATTAAAAGGTTTTGATATAATAGTAATTTTGTAAAACTTTGGGTTGTGGTGGTCTAGATGTGATATATTGGCATGTTTTGAGCCTGTGTGTATAAGTGATTGGGTGATTACAATTTTTTTTCTTCTAAATTGATTTTCTAAAACCTGAAAGTTGAAGACCCAAGCAGGTTTCAGGTTGAAATTTTCCAGTACTATCTTGTTTTATGTGTACTTGGCTTTTTCATTAAATTTTTAATATTAAATGAAAATATGGTCATTTTTAGCCAAACTATGATTTTCATTGTGCTTTATGTTGACATGCATGCTGTTTGCAAAATAATTAATATACCCTCAGAAATAGAATAATGGTTCTCTCTATAACCTTTTACCATGTGCAGCCTGTTCATTCATTTTGGCTGTGGTTTAAAGCAAAATAGGGTAAGTGCTATAAAAGGAGCTATTTAGTTGTTATTGATACTATAGTAATAACAAATACTATTGGATTATTTCTGTCTAGGTTTTTCTTTATATATCATTTGAAGACAATCCCCTGGTCTAATTCTTGTCTTTTGTGTTGTTTAACTCCTTTAACATTCACCAGAGGAGGGTGCCACTGTTTGATTTTGTTATAAATGACAGTTATGTCCTTTCAGAAAAGAAGGAGTACTCCATTACACACACACACACACCTCACACACACACACATAGAGTCTCTAGAGTGGTAGAGAGGATAAATGAGGAGCTTAATTTTATTTCTAATAATTCACATTAATAAAGAAGCAAAGACCCACCTATAATGATGATCTAGAAGGGACCTTGTATATCTTTGTATATCTATTGTATTGTTGTATACCCATTTCGTTCCACTTTTTTTTAGATTGCTGGGGAAACTGTGACCTTCCAAAGACTACGTTGCTAGTTTGAGGGCTTTAGTTTATAGATCTTCATATTAAGCCACTGGAAAAATTGGTTTGCATATTTGCGCAGAGAAATAGCACTCTTCGGAAATACAAGGATGATAGAGACATAACCCCTATCTTTAAAAAGTTTCAGTCTAATGAGAGACAGACCTTTATACAAAAAAATTATAGCCATGGCGTGCTTATGATGTTATGGGAACATAGAGGAGAGACATTTAACTCAAACTGAGAAGTGGGAGGCCTAGAGAAAAACAGTGAAGGCATCATTTACTGCAAGATTAAAAGCATGGGCTTTGACTTGAGATCTGGCTTTGAATTTATGTTCTGCCTTAGACTAGTAGTGACCTTGGACAACTTGCTTAAACTGCTTTATCTGGGAGTTTCTTATCTTAAAAATAGAGATAATAATGCATGTAAGGTGTATATACCCTCATCAATTTTATTATGCCCTTCTAGAGAGGTGCTTAATGGACAGAAGGGTATGGAAGAAGAAAGCTCAGGAACTGAGAAGTCAGCTGTGTTGTGGTGGTAATATTCAAGGGAGAGAGACGCTACCAGGGGAAGCCACAAATTTGATCTCTAGAAAGATGAATATAAGGCAGGGATAATTCTTTAGGTATTCCTGAAACTCTCTCTTCGTTCTAACTTATGGTGAACTTCTGATTACTAATTCAGGATTCTGTTTATATGTACATTAATAAAGCAGCATTCTGACATCAAGTGTGAGTTTTCTGATAAGTGACAAGGAGTATTCTCTATGATTAATTAATAAATTGGTATTCTAATTGTAACTGAACTCTTATGAGTTGGGTTAGCATGTATTAATTCTATTCAACTATGGATTTTTTGGGCGTGGGGTGGGTACCAGGGATTGAACTCAGGGGCAGTCAGCCACATCCCCAGCCCTATTTTGTATTTTATTTAGAGACAGGTCTCACTGAGTTGCTTATGCCTCGCTTTTTGCTGAGGCTGGCTTTGAACCTGCAATCCTCCTGTCTCAGCCTCCCAAGCCACTGGGATTAAGGCATGCACCGCTGCATCTGGCAACCATGGATTTTTTGACAGAAATATGTCTCTGGACTCGATATGCTGAAAATTAGATTCTGGGTAGCTGTGATTTTATTTAGGTGGATGAAATCTTAAGGACTATTGTCTCTAAGTTTCTACAGGCCAGCTTCTTCACTTGATCCACTTGGACATTTGGGACGTCTTAATCTCTTAGTCTAGGAGAAGGATGACTGTATATACATATCTAAAGTTATGCGTTGATTATTTTGTGGTATAATGTAAGATTAAAACAAAAAGTAAAAAAAAAAGCTCAGATTGTATCAATTGGTGTAGAAAGGTTGTTAGTTTTAAAATTTGAAGTTCAAAATAATGTTTATCTAAGAAAATGACTGCTTTTTGTGCTTATCTGTAGTTTTATCCATAGGCAATAAATTAAAAAAAATACTATGTAGAAAAAATATCACTAATCGTTTGAGGTTCTTTGTCAGTGTTCATAGCTGAAACTTATGTAGGGAATGGATTGTTCTGTGTTACATATGTTTATGGGTGTTGCTAAAAGATTTTGGACACGTGAAACATCTTAACCACCATAGTCCAGTGGAAAGTCATATATATCTTGACAGTTGACACATGACTTGAAAAAGTCCCACATTTCATATCAGTTCCACATTTAGGTGCAATACTTCTCAGAAGCTCAGAAGAGAAATGCTTATGGATGGTTCCCTGAAGGATACCCATAATCCAGCCTAGTTCTTTAGATCAGTGATTCTTAAGTTTTCTTGAGTCATGCTTCCTTTTGAGAATGTTATGAAACTATAGGATATTTCCCAGAAAAAAACAGATATGCATATCAAACTTTGTTTATAATTTTAAAGGCAAGTGATGCATGAGGCCTCTCTATTTCAGGTTAGTCTGGATAACATAGTCTGTTTCTGGTGAATCTAGACCTGCAAAGAGCCTTCCTCTCCAGCATTTGCATTTATTACTGTCATGTTATCTGTGAGGGTTGTTCTAAGAATGGTCTTCCAAAGCTGTCTGAGAAATCAACTGCAAGGATGTTGCTTGGGTCTTTGTTACATTATATAGCATCCTCTTTATGAAGACCAGGGGAGTAAAAATATTCTAATTCTTTTTTTTGTTTTATCTTAAGGATATTGAATCATGACAGACTGAGTTATCCTGTGTTTTTTGGCTGCTGGAAGTGTGAAGAGCCCAACTCTGACCCCTAGCATGCACAGAATTTTATAGAATACATTTATTTGATGCATAAACCTTACTTCCAGGACAGCTTATCTTCCCTATATTCAATTTTCTTTTGTTCTTTTTCTTCTTAGATATGTCATTTTATCTTG